AACCGACTGAATGAATGAACAACAACATAGATGTACCCAAAAGTTTGGATTCCCATTGCACATCCATGGAAACCTATTGGGTGACCTTAGATCAGGTCATTCTCTCTCAACCTCATTGCCAAACCTCCTCTGAAGAAAGCAAGCCAAGCAAATCCCATGATAGCATTGCCTTAGGGTCGCCATTTGCCAGAAGAGACTTGAAGGCACACAACAACACAATGGAACACGTTTTTTGTTCCTTGTTTATAAACGTCATTTACTAATTGGTTCTATCATAAAAACGTGAAAGTTTATTAAACTGCAAAAACTTTTGTTTTTGCGGGAGATTCTGTAGCACATTTTTCAATAGTTTTTCAATGAGTATCTCATAGAGTCTCAATCAATTCAATGTAGTTTGTGGCAGGCACAAAAAACAATGTTTCTTGAGTATAACAACTACTTTCAAAGTAAGGACCACACAATTAAACAGGAAATAATGCTTTCAAACCAGGAACAGAATATGCACATTTTGTTACACAATGCAATAATCCAATTGACACCTCTGTTGCCTTGACTTTTTCTTTCCTTCTAAGGCACAACGAGATGCATACCCATAAAAATCCTGTGGTTTGCTCTAGAATTTTAATAACCTAAACATCTCCCACCCGACCGTGATCCCAAAGCTATATAAAGCTTTGAGTCATACAGGCTCCCAGCGATGGAGGAAACCAAAACTCAATAGCAGACATAATCATGAATGTGGCAAAAAAAAAAAATCTTGAATGGAAGAGGCATTTTGGGGGCCTTTTTGGACAATGACACATTGTTTTCCACTGGGACTGAATGTTAAATTGTTAATGATCCGTCTGGATTGGATTGCATGGAAACTCTTCCATTACTTTAAAGGCGGATATAAGGATTAGCTACTAAAGATGTCTGGATAGTGACTCCTATTCAACATAAATCCTAACATGGCTAGAATCTTGTTACTAGTTCCAAATAACCCCAGAGATCAGGCATGGGCAAACGTAGGCCCTCAGGGTGTTTTGGACTTCAATTCTCACAATTCCTAACCACTGATAGGCTGGAAATGTGGGAGTTGAAGTCCAAAACAGTAGTATGTTAGGAATTGTGGGAGTTGGAGTACAAAACACCTGGAAACACCAAAACACCAAAAGACATGTCTGTCTTAGATGTATCTAAGGATGTATCTAAGGTGAATCTTAGATCTGGGCTTTAGCACAGCAGGTTAACCACCAACTGCAATAAATGTTGCCAACCGAAAGGTTGACAATTTGAAGCCCAGGTCAGGATGAGCTCCTGGCCTTTAGCCCAGCTTGTGCCGACCTAGCAATGTGAGTAGATAAATAGGTACCGCTTAAGCGGGGAGATATTTAAAGCCCCCATAAGGAAATGCCAGAAAAATACTGGTAATTCAATCAAGAAGGAAGTTTACAAACAAAGCTCTTTGGCAGGGAAAGTGGAGTGACAGCAACACCCATGGCTGGAACTAAGCACAGCCTCCAAGATGCCAAAGATGGGAAAACCTATATATACTTCTATCTATGTACAGTTGTCTGTCTTGTCAGTGTATAACAGCACTGAATGTTCACCGTATATGTGCTTCTCACTGAGTCCCCTTTGGGGTGAGAAGGGCAGAATATAAATACTGTAAGTAAATAAATAAATAAAATATGGACTGCAAAATGAATGCAATTTGACACCCCATTGACACCTTTGGCTTCTTTCTGTGGAATCCCAGGAGTTGTAGTTTGGTTTTGTTTTTTTTTATCGTATCAGGAGCAAACCAAAACAGTTGTATTGCATTAAAAAACAAACAAACAAAACACAAAGTTTGCAAGCTTGGTATTCTATTAAATGTCCTTTGACCAGTAACTGGCCACTTGGAATGCCTCTGGTGTTGCTGAAAAAAGGTCCTCTATTGTGCATGTGGCAGGGCTCAGGCTGCATTGCAGTAGGTGGTCTGTGGTTTGCTCTTCTCCACACTCGCATGTCGTGGATTCCGCTTTGTGACCCCATTTCTTAAGGTTGGCTCTGCATCTCGTGGTGCCAGAGTGTAGTCTGTTCAGCGCCTTCCAAGTTGCCCAGTTTTCTGTGTACCCAGGGGGGAGTCTCTCATTTGGGTTTGAGCCTGCCCCTTTTGGACTCTCGCTTGCTGAGGTGTTCCAACAAGTGTCTCTGTAGATCTTAGAAAATGATTTATTGATTTAAGTCATTGACGTGCTAGCTGATACCCAAACAGGGGATGATCTGGAGATGTCTCTGCCTTGGTCCTTTCACTACTTCCCAGCAGATGTTAGGTGGTGCAATACCGGCTAAACAGTGTAATTTCTCCAGTGGTGTAGGGTGCAGACACCCCGTGATAATGTGGCATGTCTCATTAAGAGCCACATCTACTGTTTTAGCATGGTGAGATGTGTTCCACACTGGGCATGCATACTCAGCAGCCGTGTAGCATAGTGCAAGGGCAGATGTCTTCACTGTATCTGGTTGTGATCCCCAGGTTGTGCCAGTCAGCTTTTGTATTATACTGTTTCTATCGCCCACTTTTTGCTTGATTCAGGCAGTGCTTCTTGTAGGTCAGAGCATGGTCCAGGGTAGTTTGGTGAGGACCCAGCACACGATGACACTATTCCATAGCATTAATCCTCGGCAATTAAAGTGGCACCAATCTGCACTAATTCTACAGTGTAGGCGTGCTAAGTGTTGACTCTCAAGCAACAATGGACTAAATGAGCCTACTTTCATGGGAACTAACCAAAAGGATTCAGAAAAGTAGTTCTTTCACCTTCTTTGGGGGCTTGGACGAACCATTTTATAGGAAGGTTTCTCTGGAATGGAAAGGAGGAGAAGGATTTTTCAGGCTGCAAAACCTTTGACCCACCTAAGGACCCTTTCCCATCTAATCCACTTTGATTGGTGTGTGTGTGTGTGTACAAAAATCCATTGTAGTTCCAAGAAACTACAGCCAAGAAGGCCGTTTCCTGTCCTTCCTTGCAATCCTCCGCTTTCTTCTCCAGCTGATATATTTAGGAACTTAAACTCCGGATTCCTTCCAGCTTTGGCTTTGGGTGATTTGCAAAAGCTCTCTGTTCCAAACGAGAATTAGTACTTGTTTAGATTGCCTTATGAGTCCCGGCTGTTGATGGGAGCTGCTGGTGTTGGCTGAACTCTTGCCATATTAATACCTCGACTGCAGCCGAGTGGTGGGACAGATCCCCTCCATCATCCCAAAGTCACTTGCAGAATGTCTTTTGCGGCAAAATAAAAGTGATGTAAGAGGAGAATTGGCAGTGGAGGAAGGTCTAAATGCACACGGTCTGTTTGTCTAAAGGAGGTTGCATACTCACCCGGGTTGAATACTTAGCACAGCAATCAGACACTGTAGAGTTGAGTCATGTCTCACTGGTCATCCTAGCAAGTACAGTATTTTCCATGCCCTTGGTTTAAAATAGTGGTTTGGTATAAAATTTGCTGACAGGGACATTGGCTGCAGGGTGTGGCATTCATGGCTCCAACTTCAAAGAAGATGCTACGCAACAAGAGTTAGATGTGACCATCTGGTCCAACCCTTTGGTCAGTCAGGATCTCCAGCTAAAGCATCTCCAGCAAGATGTCCAGACTCTTTATGGAGATGTCCAGAAAAGGAGATCCCACTATAGTGGGATTTCTGACAAAGTCACAGGGAGGGGACACCACTGCAAAGGTGGTCTACACTACTACCTGGAGTTGTTGTTGTTTTGTCATGTCAGGAGCAACTTGAGAAACTGCAAGTCACTTCTGGTGTGAGAGAATTGGCCATCTGCAAGGACGTTGCCCATGGGACGCCCGGATGAATTGATGTTTTTGTCATCCTTGTGGGAGACTTTTCTCATGTCCTCGCAAGCTGGAGCTGATAGAGGGAGCTCATCCACCTCTCCCCGGATTCGAAGCTGCAACCTGTCGGTCTTCAGTCCTGCCGGCACAGGGGTTTAACCCACTGCGCCACCGGGGGCTCCACCTGGAGTGAGACAACTATCCATGTTGTATATCCTTGGGAGGAGTAGGGATCTCCTCAGCCAGTCCACAATCCTGGAGGACCGAATGGTGGGTCCCAACATCCTGGTTGTGTCTGCCATTCACTTATGCAACGACAAGCCTGTCAAACTCGATGCTATGGAATCCTGGGATTTGTCGTTTGGTGCCTTCAAATGGCTGTTGAACCTATGGACAGAGGGACAATTATTATTCTTTACATAGTGGTTTTCTCTCTTTTGTTTTTACCCAGTTTTGAGTCCCTGGATTTAATGAGTGTCAACTCCCATCCCTTTTTTATGATCCGCCTTGTGGGTTGCGAATGATAGGAATTGCAACCCAACAGCTCTTTTGGTTCTGAGCTTTGGGGAATGGTTAAAGGGCATTTTGGAGTCAGGCATCAGACCCTTGTATCTAAATTCAGACCTTTCTCTCCTAGCTGATCAGACAAAAACTGCAGCCTTCCAGATGTTCCTGTATCACAACTCCCACCAGCTTTAGTCAGTATGTCAGTATTCAAAGTTAAAAACCACAGCGCCCCCTGAATCGACCTTAAAACAAAACAAAAGAAAAAACAACCCTAACCATTCAACTTCCTAAGATCCGTGACTCACACATTGTATTTTCTTTGCATTGGGAACACTGTCTCTTCATCTCAGACACTTTGCTTCAAGACGACTTCCACAGTGTTAAAACCAGTGTGTACATATGCAAGTTATTATTGCAAGGTTTCCTTCCACTATTTCCTGCCTCGCAAGACCTCATTGCAGTCTCATATCCTAGCTCTACAGCGTGTCGTTCTGACTTTTTCAGGGAAGAATTCCGTCATCTGAAATATTTTCTACCTTCTAAAGAGGAACCAGGTTATTATTCCAATGTTGCAGGAAACCCACCAAGTTGTTGGTCTTCTTGAATAGAGTTATCCATTCTGCTTGCCTCATTCTGTCCTTCAATCTTTCTCTCTCTCTACTGGTCCATTCCTCCAGGTTGGTGGTAGGAGCTCCATATGAGACCAGCGGCCATCAGAAGACCGGCGACGTCTACAAATGTTCAGTGAATGGCGAAACCAACAGTACCTGTTCCAAACTCAATCTCGGTAAGGGATAAATAAAAGGCACTGTGAGCTTCTTCTGTCTGCAACCCACTGCAATGGCAATGTTGAGCCACTTATCTCTCTGCATTCATAATTTCCAGGCACTTCCTGGATTCTTCTTCAGGTTTGTGGTATTTTCAAAGATGTAAAGTTTATAAGCATTCACAAAAGCTTCAAGATCCCCATCAACAGCTGCTTTGTCCCTCCTCAGCCTTGACTCCCAGTTGTTTGCTATCCTTAGGGTACCATGTTTAAGAAGTAACTCTGGTGGATCCATTCTGAAAAGTAATTGAAGTAATTCCTTTTATAAAATGGCACCAAGGAATTGGGACCAAAAGGCAATCTAAGGCCTTCTGTAGCATGTGGAGTGATGTTCTGTCCAAATTAAGGGTTTTCCAGTGCTTTTTGAGGTTTTCTGGAATGCCTCCAAGTGCACCAAGGTCTCTTTTGCCATAGTTGTCCAATTTCAGTTTGTAAGTCCTTGTATTTTGTGATCTTTTTCAGCTTTTTGTCCTCTACTGTACTTTCACCTGGTCCTGTAATGTCTATAATAAAAACATGTTTCTATTCCACCACCATTATATCTAGTCTATTATGTGGCAGGCATTTATCTGGTTGGATTCTAAAATCCGAGTATTTTTGCTTCTTTGTTTTCAATTGTCTTTTCTAGCTTGTGCTCATACCAGGTTTTATTGTAGGGTAGGCCATTCTTCATGCAAAGGTTCTATTATTATTATTATTATTATTATTATTATTATTATTATTATTATTATTTGAAACACAACAAGATGAGTCCACAGCAAACAAGATCACTCTGCTGACTGTTGAATTGGATCACACGTCGGACACTTCCCAAGTGTCTAGGACTGTGTGATGTATCAGCGAATAATGTATGCAGATCCCAATAAGGTGGCCTTTTGCAACTGGCAGATGGTAATCTTGTCAGCGCTGATTGTTTTTAATTGCAGGCCAAGGTCTTTAGGCACTGCACCCAGTGGGCCGATCACCACTGGGACCACCTTTACTGGTTTGTGCCAGAGTCTTTGTGGTTCAATCTTTAAATCCTCATATTGTGTCTGCTTTTCCAGTTGTTTCTCTTCAATCCTGCTGTCACCTGGGATTGAAACATCAATGATCCACACTCTGTTTTTTAACACGATTGTGTGGTCAGGAGTATTGTGCTCCCAAACTGTCTGTCGGAATTTGGAAGTCCCAGGGTAGTTTGACATGTTCATTTTCTGTAATTTTTTCAGGCTTGTGATCCCACCAGTTCTTTGTCACAGGCAGATGGTATTTGCGGCTCAAGTTCCAATGAATCATCTGAGTAATGGTGGTATGCCTCTGCTTATAGTCTGTCTGCGCAATCTGCCTGGGATTGCAAAATCGAAGATTCAAAGATTCAGCCTCTTTGGAGGTCACAGGTGGCCCTTTCTTGGGAATCCTTTAGTTGAATAATAATAATAATAATAATAATAATAATAATAATAATAATACTTTCTATTATTATTATTATTATTATTATTATTATTATTATTCAACTAAAGGACTCCCAAGAAAGGGTCACCTATTTAGAGATCCCCAAAGATGCTGAATCCATCATTTTGTTGGATAGTCAAACAGCGCTCATGTTAGGAAGTTTGCCCGAATGTTTAGATGAACATCTTCCATGTAATTCAAATCCATTGGTTCATGTCTGACATTCTTTCCCAAGGAAGAGTAACTCTTTCCAATGTGTCGGAGCGCAAGGACAACATGCGCCTGGGTCTGAGCCTGACCACAAACCCCAAAGACAACAGCTTTTTGGTAAGACTTGATGTTATAATCATGGAGGACAGCTCCCATTGCCTCATAATAACACAGAGGTAGAGTTGATTTCCTTCCTTCCTTCCCTCCTTCCTTTCTTTTATATCTTGCAATTCCGCCAATCCAAGGCCCAAGGCGACTTACAGCATATTATAAGAAAGCATCCAAAATTATGCTCGTGTTTCTCACAATGCTTTTGAAAAACTTTTTAATTCATGCTGCACTGCAGCTCCCAGCATTCCTCACCATTGGCTCTATTGCCTAGGGCTGCTGGGAGCTGCAGTCCAATCTCATCTGGAAGTTTGCATGGTGTTTCCCACTGATATGTTTTTGCACAATTCTCTTGAAATGTCCCACGCTTTGATTTTGACATACGTGAAACCATATTGCACTGCAGCTCCCAGTATTCCTTGTCATTGGACCTTATTACCTGGGGCTGCTGGGAGTCCAAGCTTATCCAGAGGACCATAATGCAGATATTCTGTCCCTGAAAGCATGCCAGAACTGGAGAAAGCATTTCCAAGGATCGATAGATAAAGTGTTTTGGAGCCCAGTGGGATGATCTTCCGAGTGCCATGTGTGACAATGCCTCTCCCTCTTTTTCTTTCTTTCTTTCTTTCTTTCTTTCTTTCTTTCTTTCTTTCTTTCTTTCTTTCTTTCTTTCCTTCCTTCTTTCTTTCTCTTCACAGGCCTGTAGCCCTCTCTGGTCTCATGAGTGCGGAAGTTCTTACTACACCACAGGAATGTGCTCTCGAGTGAACTCCAACTTCAGATTCTCCAAGACGGTGGCTCCAGCCCTCCAGCGTAAGAGGGAAAAAAGGGTTTGGACTCTCTTTCCTTCTTCTTTCATGCTTTCTTTCTTACTTTCTCTCTTTCCTTCTCTTCTTCCTCTGACAGTGATTGAAAGTGTGGCTCTCTCCATCTGCTTCAATCCTGCCTTGCAAACCGTTTCCACTAGCATCGCTAACTGGGTGTCTTATTTTCTCAGTAACCAGTTTGCAAACAGTTTTTGGTGCACAGTTCGGACTATAGTTTTTAAATACAGAATTACAAAATGCATCCACTGTCCTAGTATTAGCTGGCATAAATTGGCTTCCTGTCTTTTTCTCTCTCTCTTCTTTCTCTGATTGGAAGGTAACCCAAAGGCCATCTAGTCTAACCCCTTAGTACAATATTTCTCAACCTGGGGGTCAGGACCCCTTGGGGGGTCGCAAGGGGATTGCCAAAGACCATCAGAAAACACAGTATTTTCTGTTAGCCATGGGGATTCTATGTGGAAAGTTTGGCCCAATCCTATCATTGGTGAGGTTCAGACTGCTCTTTGATTGTAGGTGAACTATACATCCCAGCAACTACAACTCCCAAATGTCAAGGTCTACTTTTCCCAAACTCCACCAGTGTTCACATTTGGCATATTGAATATTTGTGTCAAGTTTGGTCTACATCTATCATGTTTGAGTCCACAGTGCTCTCTGGATGTAGGTGAACTACAACTCCAAAACTCAAGATCAATGCCCGCCAAACCCTTCCAGTATTTTCTGCTGGTCATGGGTGTTCTGTGTGCCAAGTTTGGTTCAATTCCATTGTTGATGGAGTTGAGAATGCTCTTTGATTGTAGGTGAACTATAAATCCCAGCAACTACAACTCCCAAATGACAAAATTAATCTCCCCCAACCCCACCAGTATTCAAATTTGGGTATATTTGTGCCCAATTTGGTCCAATGAATGAAAATACATCTTGTGTATCAGATATTTACATTATGATTCCGAACAATAGCAAAATGACAGTTATGAAGTAGCAACGAAAATAATGTTATGATTGGGGGTCACCACAACACGAGGAACTGTCGTGGCATTAGGGGGGTCGCAGCGTTAGGAAGGTTGAGAAACACTGCCTTAGTAGCTAATCCTTCCACAGAGAACAAGATTCTGTCTTTTCTTCTCTCTCCTGCTGAATCAATTCAATCAAACTTTGAATTCAGTTTGAACCAATTGAAGTCAAGAGGAAATTAACTGAATTACTTAGTATCAAATTAATGTAGTTGGACACCGCTTGAACTGCTCATTTTATGCAGTCCTAGGATTTGTAGTTTGGTGATGCTTTAGCAGAGAAGGCTAAAGACCTGGCAACTCTTGGGATTCCATAGCATTGAGCCATGGCAAGTGGTGTCAAACTGTATTAGTTCTACTGTGTAGATGAACCCCAAGATTCTTGGAAAATGGGGGAGAAAAGCTTTCCAATTTGAAGGAAGGCTGGCCTCACAAGCCCTCTTCAAGGCCAAAGAGATGGGGATTTGCGTTCCTGTCCCAATGCCTCCTCTCTGCCAAGATCCCTGAACCATTTCTTGCCCATCCGGCCGCAGGATGCCAGACGTACATGGATATCATTATCGTTTTGGATGGTTCCAACAGCATCTATCCCTGGGCGGAAGTTCAGGATTTCCTGATCAAGATCCTGAAGAAGTTCTACATTGGACCAGGCCAGATTCAGGTGAGAGGACACATGTAGGAGATGGCTGGATGCCAATACACACACACACACACACATATATGCTTTGTTGTTCTTCTCCAGCCTTGCATGACTTGTATTTAAAACCACAGTTGGCAAATACAATCTAATGCATTGGATAGAGACTGACATAGGGCTGAAGTTGTATCTTGGGGCTATTAGTATAGTATTTGCTGGAATTAATGTAGTTAGACACCACTTGGCTCAATGCTGGGACTTGTAATTTTGCAAGGCCTTTAGCCTTCTCTGCCAGACTACAACTTCCAGAATCCCATAGTATTGAGTCATGGCAGTTCAAGTGGAGTCAAACAGCATTCATTTTCCAATGTGATAGGTGTTTGTTGATCTTAGGTTGTAACATGCACTCAGTACTACTTTGGAATAAAATACACTGCAGCACTGAAATGTAGTATTCTCAGCTCAGCCAGCTCTGTTTCCACTTAAGGTTGGAGTCGTGCAATACGGGGAAGACGCGGTGCATGAGTTTCACTTGAACGACTACCGCTCTGTCAAGGATGTGGTGGCAGCCGCCCGACACATTGAGCAACGCGGAGGCACCTTAACCCAGACGGCATTTGGGATTGAGTTCGCCCGGTGAGCATCTCACCCAAACCTTGCACAGAAATAGGAGTGACAGGGTCTAAGAAACCAGTATTATGGGAGAGCGGTCAATGGTAGGCAATGCAAAAGCGATTCAATGCAGGTGCATCCAAAGACTGTCAAAAGACAGGCATGCTCTGCAATGGATAACATATGTATCAATTGCCAGGATGGTGCATTTTAGAGGAATTATATTCAAAATGATCATTCTTGCACCAGCGGTGGTCCTGAGCTGATGGCTTCCAAGTTCTGGCAAGCTTCCAGGATGGAAGGAAAGAAGGGGAAAGGAAGAGGGTGAGGGAGGGAGAGGGAAGAAACAAAGGAAAATGGAAGAGGAAAGGGAAGGAAGGAGAAAAGGCAAAGGAAGGAAAGGGAGGGAGGGAAAGAAGGGAAAACAGTGGGGGAAGGGGAAGAGGGAAGGGAGGGAGGGAGGGAGGGAGGGAGGAAGGGAGGGAGGGAGGGAGGGAGGGAGGAGAAAAGGCAAAGGAAGGAAAAGGAGGGGAAGAAAGGAAAAGGGTGAGAGAGGAAGAAGGAAGGGAGGAAGAAAGGAAGGGGAAAGGACAGAAAAGGAGGGAGGGAAGGAAGGAGGGAAGGAAGGGACAACGGGCACACATTTTGTGCCAGTTCCTTCCTGGAATAATGGTCAGTCCCCCCCACAAAATAGCTTTAGAAGCCCAAGTTTAGGCTACGGAAGTGCATAGAACACCCTTCTCCATCTGGGAAAAAGAAACAGGACTTGCAGAGTTTTTATTTGAATTTCCAACACTTATTTACCTTTTTAGTATGCTTCCATTCTTTCCTTATGAGTTCCTCTCTATTTCAGTTACAAGCAAGTGTAACCTTTTGGCTTCTTTCCCAGCAGCAATCTTGCAAATATGTTTATAAAGTTACTTATTCCTTGCTTTTTTCCATGCAACAAGGCAACATTTATCTCTGCATCTCTCGCCTTCCAGCTCAGAGGCCTTCAAGAAAGGCGGCCGGAAGGGAGCCAAGAAAGTTATGATTGTGATCACAGACGGCGAGTCCCACGACAGCATTGATCTGGAGAAGGTCATCGAAGGCAGTGAGAAGGATAATGTCACCCGCTATGCTGTGGCCGTAAGTCACCACCTGTGTCCTCCTCTCGCTGAGAATGGTGGACGCATGCATGGAGGTTCACTATCAGTGCAAGCCCTTGCAGGTGGAGCTGTGCAGCGATTGCGTCGTGCAAGGCTTGTGCCAAGTGGCAATGCTGCAAAGCTAAAGACACAATCAAGTGTAAAATGAAGTGGGCAATGGCATTCAAAACCTATGTGCACAAAGGTACAGCATGCACAATGTGCATGGATATGTGCATGGAAACCCATAGCACAACCAAATCTAGCTACATATGTAGGGAGACTGGTACCTTTCATTCTCTCTTTTCTTCTCTCTCTCTAGCTCTATATATTTATATCCATCTATATCTGTATTTATATCTGTCTGTACCTATCTATTTATATCTATGCCTATTTATATCTGTCAATCTATCTCTGTCTGTCCATCTATCCATCCATCCATCTATCTATATCTGTCTATCCATCCATTCATCTCTATCTGCTTATTTCTATATCTCTGTCTCTCTCTCCCTCCTTTCCTTCTTTCTGTATTTATTTTAGTGATTTGGGTGACACCATCTAACCCATCTCTCAATGTGTCCTCCATCAAAGGAGGATGCAGTTGTGGACGTCTTCCAAATGAACTGCTCAATGGAATGCCGAACCTATGTATGTCTGTGTGTGCAGAGGTACAGCTTGCACAACTGAATGTGCATGAATATTCGCAAGGAAACCCATGCACGCACCTGCATGCATGGCACAACCTAAATGCATCCAACAAAAATGTTGTGCTACTTATGTATGGAAACTGCTGCCTTTCGTGCTCTCTTTCTTTCTCTAGCTTTAGCTCTGTCAGTCTCTATCTGTCTATTTATATATCTCTCTATCTCTATTTATATCTATCTCAAGTTACATCTATCTATCCACCTATCTGTCCATGCATCCATCCATCCAACTCTGTCTATCTCTATCTACCTATCTGTCTAATAATAATAATAATAATAATAATAATAATAATAATAATAATACATGTGTGATCCAATACAACAGCCAGCAGAGTGACCCTGTCTGCTGTGGACTCATCTTGTTGTGTTTCAAATAATAATAATACATTTTATTTATTTATATTCTGCTTTATCTCCCCAGAGGGACTTAGAGTGGATGACAGTACACATATAAGGCAAAAATTCAGTGTCTTTTACACAATGACACACAATTTTACACAATGAGACCCCTCTTTCCTGCCTTTTGACCCAGGTCCTTGGTTACTACAACAGGAGAGGGATCAACCCTGAAGCTTTTCTGAACGAAATCAAGTACATCGCGAGCGACCCTGATGAAAAGCATTTCTTCAACGTCAGCGACGAAGCTGCCCTGAAAGACATTGTGGACGCTCTTGGAGAAAGGATTTTCAGCCTGGAAGGTCAGTCCTTTTGGACAGTCCTTTTGCTTCCTTTGTCATCTGGTTACCGGATCATTCTTCAAACGCCTTTCTTCCATCTCTTTATCTTTTTTAGGAACCAACAAGAATGAAATCTCCTTCGGCCTCGAAATGTCCCAGACGGGATTTTCATCGCACATTGTCGAAGTGAGTGAATAATAGCATTGTTTTCCCCCTTTTTTCCTTCCATGATTCATGCGTCCTGGGCATATGGTTGATATTAAGGAGCTCAAGATGTCCCCAGTTTATGATGTCTCCATCCATCAAAAGGCCCATGTATGGAAGCTAGAAATACCTGGATTATTTGTGTATCAGAAACTGGAGGACATTCAAAAAACCCAGCTTCTAATATTCTGATGCAATTTTGGAAGGAAATATTGACGCATGAGTCCAGAAATCCCCAGAATAGGCTTCTGTTTGGCTCTTTGGGGAAAATGATACCCAAGGCACTCTGTTTTTTGAGAGCTTGTTGACTGAAAACGGAGATGAAGAATGTTCCTTGGCGCATCTCAGCTGGATTTGTTCTTGGCCGTGACCTCTTTGTAGGCAAATACGGCTATGAACTTTGGCTTAAGAATAGTAGCCTTATGGGGCAGGATAGCTGATGGGAAGAGTTTCACCATAAGGCCAAAGTAAGGGCTAAGAAGCAACGCTAGGCCATTATCTATGGAAGGGATTCTGAGTCAAGTCTAGTGAGGCACCAAAGCTACAAGGTCTAACCTTTATGCAATTTTACACACTAAACACCATTGATTTGACCACTGACCACTATTATGTGCATTTTTGTGTGTGCACACATTCATATTTTCAGCCATCAAGAAAGGATACCCTAAACCAGGGGTCCTCAAACTGAGGCCCGGGGGCCGAATGCGGCCCTCCAAGGTCATTTACCCGGCCCTCGCTTAGGGTCAACCTAAGTCTGTATCGACTTGAAAGCACACAACAATCCTATCTCATCAGCCAAAAGCAGGTCCACACTTCCCATTGAAATACTAATAATTTTATATTTATATTTGTTAAAATTGTTCTTCATTTTAATTATTGTATTTTTAAGTGTTTTTGCACTACAAATAAGATATGTGCAGTGTGCATAGGAATTCATTCATGGTTTTTTCAAATTATAATCCGGCCCTCCAGCAGTTTGAGGGACTGTGACCTGGCCCTCTGTTTAAAAAGTTTGAGGACCCCTGTATAAGAACTATCAACCGAAAGATTGCAAGTTTGAAGCCCCGGATTGGTGTGAGCAGCCAACTTCTTCATCATCCTCTTCTTCCTCCTCCTCTCCCTCTTCTCCTTTCCTTCTTTATCTTCTCCTTCCTTCCTCTTCCGCCTCCTCCTGTTTTCCTCTACATTCTCCCTTTTCTCTTCTTCTTGCTCTTCCTCTTCTTCACCATCCTCTTCATCATCCTCTTTTCTCCTCCTCTCCCTCTTCTCCTTTCCTTCTTTATCTTCTCCTTCCTTCCTCTTCCGCCTCCTCCTGTTTTCCTCTACATTCTCCCTTTTCTCTTCTTCTTGCTCTTCCTCTTCTTCACCATCCTCTTCATCATCCTCTTTTTCCTCCTCTCCCTCTTCTTCTCCTTTCCTTCTTTATCTTCTCCTTCCTTCCTCCTCCTGTTTCCCTCTACATTCTCCTTTTTCCTCTTCTTCTTGCTCTTCCTCTTCTTCACCATCCTCTCCCTCTTCTTCTTCTTCTTTCCTTCTTCTTTCTCTTCTCCTTCCTTCCTATTCCTCCTCCTTTTCCTCTACTTCTTTTCCTCTTATTCTTCCTCTTCTTCATAGGATGGGATCCTGCTGGGGGCGGTGGGGGCCTATGACTGGAACGGCGCCGTCCTGAAGGAGACCAGCAGTGGAAAAGTGGTTCCCCATCGGGAGTCCTACCTCCAGGAGTTTCCGGAGGAGCTGAAGAACCACGGAGCCTATCTGGGTAAGAGCAGCGGTTGGGAAACCATCAGAACAAGGGGCACATTAACACTTTGGATGCATCTGCACTTTGGAATTTATGCAGCCTGACACCATTTTAACCACCATGGTTCAATGGGAGTTGTCCTTTGGTGAGTTGCCCTTTGGTGCCATCGGGAGATACGTACCTTTGGGAGATAGGACGGGATAATAATAATAATAATAATAACAACAACAACAACAACAACTAGCTGTTCCCTGCCATGTGTTGCTGTGACTAATCTGTGTATATGTGTTTTGTGCATGTACATATGTGTATATGTGTGTGTATATATGTGTGTTTGCGTATCTATATGTGGGTGTATATTTGTGTATTCATGCATTTATATGTGTATATGCATATTGTGTAAATGTTTGTGCTTGTCTATATGCATATTTGTGTGTATATATGTATGTATGTGTATATGTATATGTGTGTGCATGCTTATATGTATATATGTATGTGTGCATGTGTATATGTATGTATATATATTGTGTATTTGTGTGTTTATATGTGTATATGCATATTGTGTATATGTGTGTGCTTTCTATATGCATATTTGTGTGTATATATGTGTGTAAGTATATGTGTGCATGTGTATATGTATATATGTGTGTGTATATTTCTGTGTGCTTGTGCATATATATACGTGTGTGTATGACTTTGTGCATGTGTATATGTATATGACTATATGTGTATATGTATATATGGTGTATTTTGGGTTTTTTAAAAATCTGTTCCATTTTTTTTTCTTTTGTATGTGTGTGTTCTTAGGGGTGGTGGACACTAGGGATGGGCGGTTTCGTTTCGTAATTTCATAATTCGTTAAAAGTTCGTTATTTTTTTTGATAACGAAGTGATATTGAACCATTCAGGAGCAACTAAAAAACGAAACGAATTTTTCCAATTAGTTTCGTAATTGTTTCGTTATTGATTTGTTATTGATTCGTTATTGATTCGTAAATGTTTCGTTATTATTTCCGCATGTCTGGTGCAAGTTTTAGGGTTGCTGTTTGTTTTCTCAGTGAAAAAAAATATAATTATCACACCAACAGTCAACAACAGAGGGAGAGGGAAGCTTCAGAAGTTTTTTTAGCGTATTGCGTGATCGCGGCCGCCATTAAGGAATCGATTCGTAATTGATTCGTAATTGTTTTATGATTTCCGAAATTTCGTAAATATTGAACTTTTTTTAAGGAAAATTTCGGAATTCTTTTAAATAACGAAACGCAAAAAAACCCCCTAAAAACGAATCGAGTTTAGAAACAAATTTTTCCGTGTTTGGACAGCCCTAATGGACACTCGTTGGACTGTTAGGTGTATTGTGTCAAAATTTTGTGTCAATTCAACCAGTGGTTTCTGAGTTATGTTTCTCCCACAAACAATATATATATATATATATATATATATATATATATATATATATATATATATAATTAATATAGATCTCATTTGCTGTGACATACTGTTTGTGTCAGTAAAACAATAATAATAATAATAATAATAATAATAATAATAATAATTCTATAACAGGCATGGGCAAGTTTTGGTTCTCCAGTTGTTTTGGATTTCAACTCCCACAATTCCTAACAGCCTCAGGCCCTTTCTTTTTGCCCCTCAGCCGCTTAAGCGAGGGAAAAGGAAAGGGCCTGAGGCTGTTAGGAATTGTGGGAGTTGAAGTCCAAAACATCTGGAGGGAGGGCCAAAGTTTGCCCAGGTCTGATCTAGATGCCACGAAGGTTGAATGAAAAGTAATGCCTCCACCTTCATAACTCTTCAACAGATGGCAGTACTGGTATATGGCAGGTACTGGCTTGTTCAGTAGACTCTCCTCTACAGTTCCAGCTTAAGTGGCTGGGGGGCAAAAGGAAAGGGCCTGAGGCTGTTAGGAATTGTAGGAGTTGAAGTCCAAAACACCTGGAGGGCCCAAGTTTGCCCATGTCTTCTCCAGGAGATTTTGATTGGAAAACTATATCCAACTGTGCTGCAGGATGTCCCTCCTGCAAATACAAAGTTTTGGCAATTTAATAAACTTTTCCCATGCTTTTATGATCGAACCAATTAGGAAATGACATTTATAACCCAGGAACAAAAATTGTGTTACATACTGTTATTATTTGTGACATGCATCTGTGAGTGTCTTTGTGTGCTGCAGGTTATACCGTCACTTCGGTAGTGTCAAAAAAGCTGGACAGGATCTACGTGGCGGGGGCACCCCGCTTTAACCACACTGGGAAAGTGATCATCTTCACAATGCACATCAACCGCAACCTCACTATCTACCAGTCGCTGAAAGGGGAGCAGGTAAAACAGCAGATATTGCATTCATAACAGACTGCCTTTTGCAATGAGACACACTGTATGTCTTATGAGGTATTGGCTGCGGTTTGGTTCTAGGACCCTCCATGGATACCCAAACCTGTGAATACTCAAGTCGCATTATATACAAGGGTAGAATAAAATGACAAACTTTAATATAGAATGGAAAGATTGTGGTTGGATTTATGGAGGGTTGACTGTATGAACTGGAATACTGTATCCAATCCTGGGCACCACAATTGAAGGGAGATGTTGACCAGCTGGAATGTGTCCAGAGGAGGGCAACTAAAATGATCAAGGGTCTGGAGAACAAGCCCTATGAGGGGCGGCTTAAAAAGCTGGGCATGTTTAACCTTCAGAAGAGAAGACTGAGAGGAGACATGATAGCCATGTATAAATATGTGAGAGGAAGTCATAGGGAGGAGGGAGCAAGCTTGTTTTCTGCTGCCCTGGAGACTAGGATGCAATGGAACAATGGCTACAGGAAAGAAGATTCCACCCGAACATGAGGAAGAACTTCCTGACTGTGATAGGTATTCAGCAGTGGAACCCTCTGCCCTGGAGTGTGGTGGAGGCTCCTTCTTTTGAGGCTTTTAAGCAGAGGCTAGATGGCCATCTGTCAGGGGTGCTTTTAATGCAATTTTCCTGCTTCTTGGAAGGGGGTTGGTTGGTCCATGAGGTCTCTTCCAACTCTATGATTCTTTGATTTGGTGACTAGGACTTAATGGAGCCATGGGTTCCAATGACAGAGAAGGAGATTCCACCTAAACATTAGGAAGAACTTCCTGACCAAAGCTGGAGGGCCACCTGTCAGAGGTACTTTGACATGCCTTTCCTACATAACAGAAAAGGGCTGGACTGGATGACCTCCGAGGGTCTCTTCCAAATCTATTATTCTATGATATCACAATCGCACACTGGTGCATGTTGCTTGAGTCCTTATATAGCAGGCATGGGCAAACTTCTACCCTCCAGGTGTTTTGGACTTCAACTCCCATCATTCCTAACAGCCTCAGGCCCTTTACTTTTCCCCCTCAGCCGCTTAAGCGGAATTGTGGGAATTGAAGTCCAAAACACCTGGAGTGCCCAAGTTGGCCCATGCCTGCTCCAGGAGAACTAAATAGCGATCTTGTGTATTTGTGTGTTTGTGTATATATATATGTGGTTTTGCATATGCATTGCAATGTATTTTCTGGCTTTTTAAGTCCCTTCCACTGTGTTTTCCATTGTTTTTATGAGTGGTGGTCACTCGTTGGCCTGATAGGTGTATTGTGTGCAAATTCATCAATTGGTTTTTGAGTTATGTGAATCCCACAAATGAACAATACATTTTTATTTATATAGATATATGGATATGGATATGTTGGATAGTAGTGACCACAACCCTTAATCTTCCAGAATCAAAGTGTTTAATCTGCATATTTTGTTTTTCCAGCAGCGACGTCTAGACAAAGAGATGATAGATTGCTTCTGTTCTGAAATGCCCCTCCTTCCCGGCATTATCATTCCAAATGCCTTTAATGTCTTGGAATTATGTTAAGCTATCGAAGCCCACAACCATCTCCAATTCATTCCCCACATTTTTCTCTATCTTTTTTCTCTCTTTCAGATCGGTGCCTATTATGGAAGCGAAATTAATTCTGTGGATGTTAATGGGGACGGGGTCACCGATATTTTGTTGGTTGGAGCCCCAATGTATTTCAGCGAAGGAAGAGAAAAAGGCAAAGTCTATGTCTATACCCTCAAAGAGGTACTTTATTACGGAGACTTCTTAAAGTCCTTTCAAAACTATATGTATGTATATGTATATGTATATGTATGTATATATACACACACATACAGACAGACACACACACACACATTGCTTAGTCCAGGGATTTGTATATTTCTCTAGGCTTAAGGGGTCATCGTGTGGCTTAAGAGGCCAAGAAATAAAAGGCACATAAAAGCATATGGGTGTTTTCAAATGGAAAGATTCATAGAGGTAACATATTCTGCAGTCGATATGGAGGAAGCTACTTCCTCCACATCGACTCATGCAAATGATTAATTAATCATTGGGTGTGATTTCGATAAAACTCCTCTGCCTAGAAAACAATGTTTTCTGTGCAGAGCTTGTTGCCCAAATCAAAAGTTTTTGCACACTTCGTGTGTGTGTGTGCACAAAATCCCATCTTGGGTTTTGCTCCCAATATTTATTTACTTATTATATTTAATTTACTTATTAATTACAATTTTATGTATTTATTATATTTATATGCTGCTTTCCTCTCTTAAATGAGACTCAAAACCACTATAAACGCTTAACTTTTGGCTAACTGGTAGCCTATGTGCATTTTCCATTATTTTGTTGACACGTTGGCATGTATTTATCATATTTGTTTGTTTATTATTTCTTTATTATGTTTAATTGTGTATTATATGTTTTATTTCTATGTATTAACTATATGAATTAATTTATCATTTTTATTTACATTTTAACATTTATTTTATTATTAATTTATTTATTGGCTTTATTATTATATTACATCATATTTATTATTTTTATAGAAGACTTTCTTCTCTTGAAAAAGACTCAAAGCTGCTATAAATTTAATATGTTTTAATTAAATCGTTTAAAATGTTTTAATTGCTTTTATAATTGTTTTAACTGTATCTTTATAATTTGTTGTGGCATCGAATCGCTGCCAATTCTGAACTGCCTTGAGTTGCCTCTGGCTGAGAATTTGTAATGCGGTAAACAAATAAATAAATAAACTGTTGGCTTTTGGCTAACTGGCAGCCTATGTACATTTCCCATTGTTGTCTTGAAATTTTTATATTTATTATATTGTATTATTATGCATTTATTTGTGTATTATATTTATGTATTATATGTATGTGTTTTATATTTATTTATTATAATTATTTTTTATATTTATATACCGCTTTACTCTCTCAAAAGAGACTCAAAGTTGCTATAAATGGTTGGCTTTTGGTGAACTGACAGCATATGTGTGTTTCCCATTGTCTTGTCAACATGTATTATATTATATTATATTATATTATATTATATTATATTATATTATTATAATATTAATGATACTTATATACCGCTTTCCTCTCTCAAAGGAGACTCAAAGTTGCTATAAATGGTTTCCTTTGGATGAAGTGGCAGCCTACATACATTTCCCGTTGTTTTGTTGACATGTGTGCCTATATGTATTCCTTTCTCTCCTTTCTTGGAAGGACCGATTTGTCTCCAGTGGATCATTAATGGACTTACCAAGCTACCAAAACTCCCGCTTTGGCTCCTCCATTGCTTCTGTCTCGGACCTGAACCAGGACTCTTTCAACGACGTTGTTGTCGGGGCTCCACTGGAAGACGACCACCAGGGAGCCATCTATATCTTCCATGGCTATAAAGAAAACCTCCTCCGGAAATACAAGCAGGTAGAGGCCGTCCTATGCTATTATTGTCAGAACGAACATTGAATGAAAGGAATACATTCAGTGGAGATAAACTGTCATATTGGCAAAATAATGCTATGAAATACTAGGATTGGGAGGCACCAAACCCTGACAACGAAAAGGTTAAAGACCTTGTAGAACTATAACTTCCAAGACATCACGGTATTTAAAGTGATATCAAACTGCATTCATTCTATAGTGTTTATACACTCTCTATGGCAAGCATGGGCAAACTTCGCCCCTCCTGGTGTTCCTACCATCTGTTAGGAATTGTGGGAGTTGAAGTCCAGAACACCAGGAGGGTAAAAGTTTGCCCATGTCTGTTCTATGACCATTTGCGGTAGACATTAACCATCTAATTGCAAATGGAGGGCTAGAGCACAGAAGCTACCTTGAGTCTCTTTTGTAGAGATGGAAAGCGGGATATAAATAATAATAATAATAATAGTAATAATAATAATAATAATCCTAGACACTTGGAAAGTGTCCAACATGTGATCCAATACAACAACCAGCATAGTGATCTTGTTTGCTGTGTACCAATATTGTTGTGCTTGAAATAATAATAATAATCACAATAATAGTAGCAATAACAAACACAATAATAAACATCATGATAATAATAAACATAATAATAATAATAATAATAATAATAATAATAATAATAATAATAATAATGGTTTTGTGGACTCTATAGTAGCAAAAGCTAAAGACCTTGTCAAACTTCAGCTCCCAGGATTCCATAGCAATGATCCATGCTAGCTAAACGGGTGGTAAAATGCATTAACTCTGCAGTGTAGATGCACCCTTTGTCTCCATTAAACTGGAAACCAGTTCAAAGTAAATGGCGGAGATGTAGGTAGCACACCCAGAGTTGGGTTGCATGTTGAGTCTTTAGCTTGCTGTTTAAAATCCCCCTGCAATGTATTGTATGCAGCATATGTTATATTGTATGAACCCAGCCCAACCCAATCCAAAGCTTGTCCAACCTCAGATCTCACAACATCACTTTGGATGTATTATGCATCCCTGGACGCACATGCCGTCGCATTTGAATAGCTCTGCTTTGCTTTTGTTTGTTTGTTTTGCTATAATGTTTATTGCGCTGCAATGTTTCAGAGAATCCCGGCAGCCGAGCTTTCTCCAGGCTTGATGTATTTTGGGTGCAGCATCCACGGGAATCTGGACCTGAACGAAGATGGCCTTGTCGACCTCGCTGTCGGCTCCCTTGGAAGCGCTGTGTTGCTTTGGTGGGTCCTGATAGATAGAGCATAATGCTCTGATGTCCATTGGATGGGGAATTGTTGTCACAGAAGTGGATGTATTGTGTTCCGGGATCAGGTTGATGATGGGGTCCTTGAAGTCCTAGGATTTGTAGTCTGATGTTCTCAAGTGATAGCTTTCCAAAGTGTCCAGAGGGTGAAGATTTGTCAAGAAACTCTGGGTAGCGGAGAGGGTTTTTTGGGTGCTTGCGCTTAAGATATGTGGACTATTAGTTTTTAATTTTGCTGAAACTCCCTCTTTATCTATATCTATCTCTCTATCTGTATAAAGATCAAAAGTTTGTATGTTTGCTTGTCTCTTTGTGTATACCACAAAGGTGAAGTAGCCCTATGCGGGTTGGTGGCTGCTAGGTTAAGGATTGGCTCTTGCCAGGTGAAGTGGCCCTTTGTGATGTTACTGGGAAAGAAAAGTGACATGTGTATGAGAGGAAGGGAGGGAAAAAGAAGGGAAAGGAAAGGAGGAGGGAGGGAAATTCCATATTGCCCTGGAGACATTGTGAGATAGGCCTTCTCAGAGTGGGAGAAAGGAGAAAGTAGGACCCTAAGACATCTGGATAATGCCAGGAGTATCTATCGCTTTTTGTATCATCCAATGGTCCCAGATTTTTCACAGAAACTGTTCCAATCAGTCCTTTGCCATCCCACCCTTCAGCAGTTTTGAAAGCGTCCCAGTTTCTCATTCCTTCCCACATTTGTCCTCAAGTTTATTCCAGTTGCTGCAAAACTGAGTTCTCAACTCTTTTCTTGCGCCTCATCTGTGTCTTTTGGCCACCTTTGGGCACACCTAGGCCAGGTGTGTTCCTGCCTTCACCTGTGAAATGGCAGAACATCAAGGCTATCCCATTGTCTCTTTGCCATCAGGTCTCGCAGTGTTGTCCGGATCAATGCCAGCCTCCGCTTTGAGCCCTTCAAGATCAACATCTTCAACAAGGACTGCATCCGGAACGGAAAGGACGCCACCTGCCTCTCGGCCTTCCTTTGCTTCATGGCCGTCTTCCTCTCGGCTCACTTCCAAGCAGCCAGCGTCAGTAAGGGCCCCCCCTTTCTGCAGATCCAGATTTGGAAACTACTGTAAAAAGGATTCAAATGTTTCTTCATTTATGCTATGTAACATGATTTTTGTTCCTAGGTCATCAATGTCATTTCCTAATTGGTTCTATCATATAAACATGAGAAAAGTTTATTAAACTGCCAAAACTTTGTTTGTGCTGGAGGGACATCCTGCGATAGCACATTTTGATCTAGTTTTTCAATGAATATTCCATCATAGAGTCTCAACCTATTCAATGTAGTTTGTGGCAGCCACAAAAATGTAGTTTCTGGAATAGAACCACTACTTTCAAAGTAAGTTCTGCACAATTAAACAGGAAATAAGACTTTCAAACCAGGAACAGAACATTTTTCAAATTTTGTTACATAGTGTTATCTATGTTCTTACAAAGGTCGATTGCTGCAGCTGAAACAGAGGGTGCTTCTATGTCGCAGAATGAAAGTGGTTTTGACACCACTTGAACTTCTAAGGCTCTGACTTAATAATGGGATTTGTAGTTTCACAAAGTCTTTACCCTTCACTGCCGAAAGAGGGCTGGTGCTTCACTAAACTATGAATCCCAAGACTAAAGTTAAGGAAGTGTCAAACTATACTCTCTACAGTGTAGATGTGCCCCCATAACATTGTCATTGGGCCATAATGAGAGCTCTAACTGGACCACATGTAAATAGAATCGTAGAATAATAGAGTTGGAAGAGACCATATCAGCCATCTAGTCCCACTTCTGTCTGCCATGCAGGAAAAGCATAAAATATCCCTGGCAGATGGCCATCCAGCCTCTGTTGAAAAGTTTCCAAGGAAGGAGCTTCCACATGAGAAGGTCCAAAAAGTAAAGCAGCAAAGAGTTTTAGCCTTGTAGGTGTCATTAGTAGTAGTAGTAGTAGTAGTAGTAGTAATAGTAGTAGTAGTAGTAGTAGTAATAGTAGTAGTAGTAGTAGTAATAATAATAATACAAAGTATGGATTGTCAATATTGCAATCCCAGGTGATAGCAGGATTGAAGAGAAACAACTGGAAAAGCTGACACAATATGAGGATTTAAAGATCGAACTGCAAAGACTCTGGCACAAACCAGTCAAGGTAGTCCCAGTGGTGATTGGTGCACTGGGTGCAGTGCTTGAAGACCTTGGCCTGCACTTAAAAAGAATTGGCACTGACAAAATTACCACCTATCAGCTGCAAAAGACCACCCGATTCAGATGTGCATGCATTATTCTCCGATACATCATACGGTCCTAGACAGTTGGGAAGTGTCTGACATGTGATCGAATACAAAAGCCAGCAGAGTGATCTTGTTTGCTGTGTACTCATCTTGTTGTGTATCAAATAATAATAATAATAATAATAATAATAATAATAATAATAATAGTATTTATTACCAGCCTCACCTTGTGACTCAAGGTTAAAAGAGATAAAACACTAGACTGTAAAAAATACATAGAACAAGATACAGTTAAAAGCATGTTAAAATTCACCCAAAAATGCAGATTAAAATTAATAAGATAAAGTGAGTTTATAAAAAAGGGTCATCAAAATAAATTATTATATATTCCTGTTGAAACAGAGCCCTGAAATGTTATATTTTGGTGTCTTCTGGTGCACTTTGCACCTTTTGCACCTTCCTTGTGAGGCTACCACTGGTATTAAATAGTCTAGTCCTTCTTCATATCCTCAGCCTTACATTTAGTTAAAAGTTCACCTGCACAGGTGCAAAAAAATGTTGAAATCAAATGCCTCAGTTTAATGCCAGATCCTTCATTTAAATCTTGCTTCCACCACAAAGTGGTTTTCGGCTAGCCCTGCTTTCTCATTTCCAACTTTTCCGCCTCCCAACATCTTCATTTTGCGATTGCATTGCAGATCACAGGCTTTCCTTTCCTTTCCTTAAATGGGGAACTTCATAGCTTCTCCTGCTTCTTATTTATGGCTCTTTTGAGATTATATGAATGGAGGCCATTCATTCCCTAAGAGAAACGGTGGATTAATGGTACTGCAAACACGGTGGCCGGGCTCTCTATTACATCAACCACAAATGCCTTTAAAAGAGAAACCCTGACAGCAGCAGAAATGTGATCTTTTCGCCAGGCAGCTGATGTCAGGGGCAGAAATCCAGATGTGGAACCAAAACACAGGAGTGGAGGTAGTATAGGTGCAGTTCGGGCAGTCCGACTTACAAACGACTCATAATTAAGAACAGGGGTAAGACAACAAGAGGTGAAATGAATCTTCCCCTCAGAAGGAAGGGAAAATCACTCCTGGAAGAGTTATTATCATGGGGAAAAGGGGGCTCCACTGAAGCTTTTACACCATTTTTATTTCCACAACAAGCCAATTTTTTCAAAATCCAATTACACAATGTAACAAAATTTGAAAAATTTTCTGTTCCTGGTTTGAAAGTGTTATTTCCTGTTTAGTTGTGTGGTCCTTCATTTGAAAAATGTTGTTCTACTCTGGAAATTTCATTTTTGTCACTGCCACAAACAAGTTTGCAGTTGAGACTTGATGATGACATATTCATTGAAAAACTACAACAAAATGTGCTGCAAGATGTCCCTTCCTTATAGACAAAGTTTTGGTAGTTTAATCAACTTTTTCCATGTTTTATGACAAAACCAATTTGGAAATGACATTTATTACCCAGGAACAAAGATCATGTTACATAGTATTATCACAAGTATGGAAAATGAGGTGAAATCTTCTGAAGAGAGGCACAGAAAGCAAAACAAACACCACAGGAGTGTTCATCCTTCCCTATGCTATTCAAAGCATGCTGTGGCACAGCTAATTAGTAGCCAGCTGCATTAAATCACTACTCACTGAGAGGTCATGAGTTCGAAGCGAACCCGGGTCAGAGTAAGCTCCCAACCACTAATAGTCTAGCTTGCTGTTGACCTATGCAACCCAAAAGACAGTTGCATCTGTCAAGAAGGAAATTTATGTACCGTTTTATGCAGGGAGGTTAATTAAACTAATTTACGACATCATAAAACCTTCCAGCTGCATGTGTAAGAATAAGGAAGTACTCCATCAAGGACTTGGTGTCACAAGTGATAGCTCCTCCTGTGGCCGGAATCAAGGATACCCTCATGAAGCTGGAAAGCTGGAATGTTAAATTGGCTCTATGTCTGTCTATATATGTTGTATGTCTATGGCCTTGATGTTTGCCATGTATATGTGCATTGTAATCCGCCCTGAGTCCCCTGTGGGGTGAGAAGGGCAGAATATAAATACTGTATATGTGTGTGTGTATAATCTGGAATTACACTGTTCCAACTTGCCAGGCTATAGCACAACAGGTTAGCTGTGAGTTGCAGTAAATCTTGCCAACCAAATGGATGACAGTTCAAAGCCCAGATCAGGGTGAGCTCCTGGCCTTTAGCCCAGCTTCTGCCTACCTAACAGTTTCGACAATAACAATGTGAGTAGATAAATAGGTATAACTTAAGCAGGGAGGTATTTAAGGCACCTATAAGGAAATGCCAGAAAAATGCTGGTGATTCAATTAAGGAGGAAGTTTACAAACAAAGCTCTTCAGCAGAGAAAGTGGAGCAACAGCACCCTCTTTTGGTCGGAACTGAGCACAGCCTTCAAGATACTGAAGATGGGAACGCCTATATATACCTTTATCTATGTACAGTTGTCTGTCTTTTCAGTGTATAATGGTATTGAATGTTTGCCGTGTATGTGTCTGTGATCAGCTCCGAGTCCCCTTCAGGGTGAGAAGGGCGGAATAGAAATACTGTAAATAAATAAATACAAACAAACGAATTCAACTTAAGAACAAACCTACAGAACCTGTCTTGTTCATAACTTGGGGACTGCCTGTACTATTTTGAAGAATACAGCATAACCCCGAGGTTTGGTTCTTTCATTGTGAGCTTGGGAGTAATTCTTTAACTCAGCGTCTACTATTTCAGCCCTGAATTACAACGTCACCATCGACGAGCGGCGGTACGTTCCCAGAGCCCATCTTGACGAAAACGGAGACCGACTCACCCACAAAACGGCCACGCTATTGGCAGGTCAAGAGCAATGCGAGAGGATGAATTTCCATGTCTTGGTAAGTTCTTGAACTGCGAAAAGTGAGGTCTCCTAGCCTTCAAGGGAAGCTAAGTTTTGAGTTGTGCAAGCAAACGAAGATTAAATTGGTCCTCTGTTTATCTCAGTAGGTTCAGAAAATGCTGACTTTTGCATAACATGTCTTCCAAATTATCATGCCAAACCTGATGATCATAAATATTTGCTATCCCAGGCATGGGCAAACTTGGGGGCATTCCCTCCAGGTGTTTTGGATTCCTAACCACCTCAGACCCCTTCCTTTCTCCCCTCTGCATGACCAAAAGGTAACTGAAGTCATTTGCTTCTTCCTTAGGATACAGCTGACTATGTGAAGCCAGTCACATTTTCCGTTTCCTATGGCTTGGATAGTCCTCACAATGGAGCGGTGATGGAGGATGGGTGGCCAACTTCACTGAAAGTGGCTGTGAGTAGCAAGACTTTGGGAGTTAGCCGTAGGATCATGCTAGAAGACTTACAGATGCTTAGAGAAATGTTCTCTCTTATGAATATCTAAGTCCTCCAGTGCAACTCCATGGTTGGACGTTGACCATAAAGACACCTTGGAGGACTTGGTGATTCCTAGAGAACACATATTAATCCACACAATGCCATCAAACTTTGCCTCTGGCTGAAACTTGGCTGCAAAAAGCAGAGAGCAGCCAAAGGAAGCCAAGAGGGAGCTGCTCTCAAGAGCCAAAAACACCAGAGATACTGCCATGTGCATGTTCTCTAAGTAGCGTCTGTGTATGTGTGTTATATATAAAATATCAAATTGTGTGTGTGTGTGTGTGCATGTCTGTACCACAAGGGCTGTAGCTAGGTGAAGTGGCCCTCTATGTTGTCACTGAGATATAAAGGTGACAAGTGTGCGAGGGGAAAGGAGGGTGGGATTGAGGGAGGGAAGAAAAAGGAAGGGAGGGAGGGAGGGAGGAAGAGGAAAGGAAGAGGGAAGGAGGGAGAGAAGGAAGGAGGACAGACAGGAAGGAAGAAATGAAGGAAGGGTGGATTGATGGGTAAGAAAGAGGGAGGGAAGGAAAGGGAAGGAAGAGAAAGCAAGGGAAGAAAGAATGGAGGAAAGAATAAAGTAAAAAGGAGGGAATGAGGGAGAGAGTGGAAGAAAGAAAAAGGAAAGAAAGGAAAGAAGGAAGGGAGAGGAAAAGGGAGAAGGGAGAAAGGAGGATGAGAAGAAAGGAAGGAAGGAAGGAAGGAAGGAAGGAAGGAAGGAAGGAAGGAAGGAAGGAAGGAAAAGGAAGGAAGAAGAAGGGAGGGAAGGAGGAAGAGGAAAGGGAGAAGGAAGTGTGGAGGGAAGGAAGACAGACAGGAAGGAAGGAAGGAGGGAAGGGTGGATGAATGGGAAATAAAGAGGGAAGGGGCGGGAAGGGGAGGGAAGGGAAGAAAGGATGGAGGAAAGAATAAAGAAAAGGAAGGGAAAGAGTTAGTGGAAGAAAGAAAAAGGAAAGAAGGAAGGGAGAGGAAAGGGGAGAAGGGAGAAAGGAGAATGGGAAAGCAAGAAAGAGGAAGGAAGGAAGGAAGGAAGGAAGGAAGGAAGGAAGGAAGGAAGGAAGGAAGGAAGGAAGGAGGGAGGGAAGAAATACAGATAGACAGACAAAGGAATGGCAATCCCAAATCCATCCCATCATTTCTTTGTTTTCAGCCTGAGTTTTGCATTAAAATTTGGTTTTAATGAAATATTGAGGTTCTAATTCCTCCTTGGCACATCCTGTAAAAAGCACCAAAGCATTTGTTTCCCCCCATGTCCCATAGGTCCCCTTCTGGAATGGCTGCAATGAAGATGAGCATTGCATCCCAAATTTGGTCCTTGATGCTAAAACTGACATCCCGACTGCCATGTGAGTAGTAGCTACTCTGCGTTGCAAGTGAGAAATTGTGCCAAGAAAGGAGAGGGCTTACTGTTCGGCCTGCCTTGGGTGATGATGGGGGAGGTCTTTTGGGGAAGAAGATGGGGTAGCCCCTTCTTTTGGGGCAGCTACTTCAGTGCTTGCTCTTTTCCGCAGGGAGTATTGCAGGCGCGTACTGAGGAAACCACATTCAGACTGCTCCACCTACACGCTGTCCTTCGATGCCTCCATTTTTGTCATAGAAAGTTCCAGGAGGAGGGTGGCTGTGGAGGCCACACTGGAAAACGCCGGGGAAAACGCATACAACACCGTCCTGAACATTTCCTTCTCCAGAAACCTGCAGTTTGCAAGCCTGATCCAGAAGGTAGAGGTCTCTTCGTTTTCTCAGACTGGCAATGAGCTTCTATGTAATTGACTTGAAGTCAATCTGCAACTGATATAAAGTAGCATTTAAAATAATTTAAATAGCATATATATATGGCATTGCCCCGGTGAGTTTAAGACTTCTGCCCATCTACTATCTCCCTTCTCCCTTTTCCTTTTTCTTCCATCCTTCCTTCCTCATTTTTCTCTCTCTCTCCCACTCTCCCTCCCTTCCCTCCTTTCTTCCCACCTTTTTCTTTCTTCCTTCTCCTCTCCCCTCCTTCCTCCTTTTCCTTTTTCTTTCTTCCCTCCCTCCCCCCTCCCTCCCTCCCTTCCTTCCTTCCCTCCCTCCCTCCCTCCCTCCCTCATTTTTCTTTTTTCTTTCCCTCCTTTCCTTCCTTCCTTCCTTTCTTTTCCTTTCTCTCCCTCCCTCCCTCCCTTCCCTCCTTTCCTCCTTTTTCTTTCTTTCACTCAGTCCCTTCCTTCCCTTCTTTTTCCTCCTTTTTCTTTTGTTCTCTTCCTTCTCCCTCCTTTCTTTCTTTCTTTCTTTCTTTCTTTCTTTCTTTCTTTCTTTCTTTCTTTCTTTCTTCTCCCCTCCCACCTCCTTCCTTTCCTTTCTCTTCTTCTTTCTCCTTTTTCTCTTTTTCTCTCCCTCTCTCCCTCCCTCCCTTCTTTCTTTCTCTTCCCTCCTTCCTTTCTCCTTCCTCTTCCTTTTTTCTTTTCCTTCCTCCTTCCTTCCTTCCTTCCTTCCTCCTTCTCCTTTTTTTTTCTCTTCCTCCCTCCCTCCCTCCCTCCCTTCTTTCTTCCCTTTCCCTCCCCTTCTCCCTTCCTTCCTTCCTTCCTTCCTTCTCTTCCTTCCTTCCTTCTTCCTTCCTCTGCCTTCCGCCTTCCTTCTTTCCTTCCTTATTTCCTTCCTTCCTTCCTTCCTTCCTTCCTTCCTTCTTTCCTTTCTTCCTTCTCCTTCCCTCCCTCTCTTTTGGGTATCCTTCCTTCCCTTTTAATTTTTTTCCCCTTCTTTCCCAGTGACATCTCAGAGGGCCACTTCACCTAGCAGCAGCTTTTGTGTTACAAACAGAAGGACAGACAAATTAACACATTTATATACTTTGACTTTTTACATATGTAGATGAGTACTTTTTAGCAAACAGCAGGCTCTGTTGTGTTTGTGGCTCTTGTGATCCTGGCTTCCTTGAGCTTCTCTCTGCTTCTTGTAGCCAAAGTTTTGGCCGGAGGTGGCCTTCTGTTTCCCTGCTGAGTACTGTCCCTCTGAGCAGCCCTTTCTCTGCTGTCAAAAGAAAGGGAAGATGGAAGGGGCCCTGCGCTTGCCAGGCATCTGTTCCACACTTGGAGAGAGTCGTTGTGGGTCTCTTCTGACAGCCAGCTGGAGAAGCTGGCCGACGATGTCTGGAAATGCTTTTTTTCTAAGGGGAAAAATGCCGCTGATTTATCACTTTCATATGGCCGCCTCCACGTCAGCTCCTTTGTCATCCTTAAGGTGGCTTTACGTCCCTGAAATATTGCTTCTTCCTTTCATTCTTCCTTAACTCCTCCAAAAAAGAGGATGGGAGCAAAAGGCATTGCACAATCTTATTTTCCAGGGGCTTCTCACAGAAATCGTATTTTCTGAACAGAACCCCTGCCACGTATTTATGGCTCTGACCCAGCCTGAGCCACTCCTTCTACATTGAATCTTTCCCCTTCTCTTCTTGTATAGCAGCTATTGCATCAAGGGAGTGCATGCAGGCTGACCCCAAGTACCTTGTTTCCCCAAAAATAAGACCTACTCCAAAAATAAGACCTAATGCAAAAATAATAATATACTGTAAAAGTAATAGAAGTAATAATAATAATAATAATAATAATGCAATCTCAGGCGACAGCAGGATTGAAGAGAAACAACTGGAAAAGCTGACACGATATGAAGATTTAAAGATCGAACTACAAAGACTCTGGTACAAAGGTGGTCCCAGTGGTGACCGGCACACTGGGCGCAGTGCCTAAAGACCTTGGCCTGCACTTAAACACAATCGGCGCTGACAAAATTACCAGCTGCCAGCTGCAAAATGCCACCTTACTGGGATCTGCACACATTATTTGCTGATACATCACACAGTCCTAGACACTTGGGAAGTGTCTGACATGTGATCCAATTCAACAGCCAGCAGAGTGATCTTGTCAGCTGTGGACTCATCTTGTTGTGCTTCAAATAATAATAATAATAATAATAATAATAATAATAATAATAATATAAAACAATCCTAAACTGCCATGGTTCAATGCTATGGGATCCTGGGATTTGTAGTTTTGTGCGACACCAGCAATCTTTGCAATGGAAGGTGAAAGATTTTGCAAAACTACAGCTCCCAGGATTCGTTAGTATTGAGCCATGGCAATTCAACTGGCATCAAACTGTATTTATTCCACAGTGTGGACGCATCTCAGGTCTCAGCCCATGCCTTAATGAAGTAATCTTCAATGTATGCTTCTTCCTTTTATTGCTTTTCAGGATGACCTGGACATTAACATTGAATGCATGTCTGAGGAGAAGCATCCAAACAGCAGGCTTTGCAACGTCAGCTACCCGTTCTTCAGAGCCAAAGCAAAGGTAAGGGCGAACAGTGCGAGAGTTGTAGTTTGTACTCATTGGCAGGGAAGGTTCCCATCCTTGCAAAACTATGGCTCCTGTGAATCCATAGCATTGAAACATTGCAGTTCAAAATATGTCAAACTGCATTTCTATAGTGTAGATGCTCCCTCCCTTCTTTCTTTCCTTCCTTCCTTCCCTCATTTTTCTTTCTCCCTTCTCCTTTCCTTTCTTCCCCTTCTTTTTCTCTTTCTTTCTTTCCTTCCTTCCTTCCTCCCTCCCTCCCTTATGCATATACATGCTACCTTTAGTTCCCAGAAAGTGAAATCACAGAGAGCCACAAACAAACCTTTCCTTTCTTTCCCTTCTTTTTCTTTCTTTCTTTCTTTCTTTCTTTCTTTCTTTCTTTCTTTCTTTCTTTCTTTCCTTCCTCCCTCCCTTCCTCCCATACCTTCACATACATGCCACCTTTCTTTCCCAGTGACAACATAGAGCCACAAACTTTGGCATAGATAGATGATAGTGATGATGATAGTAAGTAATCACACAATGTAACAAAATTTGATACTAGAGACAAAGTTGAGGTACTTTGGCCACATCATGAGGAGACAGCAAAGCCTAGAGAAGACAATTATGCTGGGGAAAGTGGAAGGTAAAAGGAAGATGGGCCGACCAAGGGCAAGATGGATGGATGGCATCCTTGAAGTGACTGGACTGACCTTGAAGGAGCTGGGGGTGGTGACGGCCGACAGGGAGCTCTGGCGTGGGCTGGTCCATGAGGTCACGAAGAGTCAGAGACGACTGAACAAATGAACAACAACAAACAAAATTTGAAAAATATTCTGTTCCTGTCTTGAAAATGTCATTTCCTGTTTCATTGTGTGGTTCTTACTTTGAAAGTTGTTGTTCTATTTCGGAAACTTCATTTTTGTGACACAAACTCTGTTGAATTGTTTGAGAAAGTATGAGATATTCATTGATAAACTAGAGCAAAATGTGCTATAGCAGGATGTCCCAAAGAAACAACCCGGTGGTGCAGTGGGTTAAACCGCTGAGCTGTGGAACTTGCTGATCTAAAGGTCACAGGTTTGAATCTGGAGAGCGGCACGAGGTTCTGCCAACCTAGCAGTTGAAAACATGCAAATGTGAGTAGATCAATAGGCACCGCTCTGGCAGGAAGGTAATAGCACTCGATGCAGTCATGCTGGCCACATGACCTTGGAGGTGTTTATGGATAACGCCAGCTTTTTGGCTTAGAAATGGAGATGAGCACCTACCCCCAGAGTTAGACACAACTGGACTTAATGTCAAGGGAAAACCTTTATCTTTAATAAACCTTTTTCATATTTTTATAATAGAAGCAATAAGGAAATGACACTTGTAACCCAGGAACAAAATTGTGTTACATAATGTAATCATCATCTTCTTCATCGTCATCATCAAATTACTCCAAACCTCACAATCATGGAAAAAAGCAAATGTATGTATCGTCCATGCTGCAATGGCGGCAGTAGAACTGACGAGAAGCAACTGAAAAAACTTACACAATACAAGGATTTTGAGATCAAATTGCAAAGACTCTGGCACAAGCCAGTCAAGATGGTCTCAGTGGTGATTGGCACACTGAGTGCAGTGCCTCAAGACCTTGGCCTGCACTGAAAAACAATCAGGGCTGACAAAATTACCATCTGTCAGCTGCAAAAGGCCACCCTACTCAGATCTGCACACATTATTCAACAACTGGAAAAGCAGACACAATATGAGGATTTAAAGATCGAACTGCAAAGACTCTGGCACAAACCAGTAAAGGTGGTCCCAGTGGTGATCAGCCCACTGGGTGCAGTTCCTAAAGACCTTATTTATTTATTTATTTACTTCGCTTATATACCGCAGTTCTCAGCCCAGGGGCGACTCACTGCGGTGTACAACATAGCAAAAAACAAGGTGCAAAACATAAGACACAGTATAAAATAATCCACAATTCAACATTATCAGAAAACATCCTCATCAAAAACATCATCATTACTACAAAGCCATTCCGTGTCGTCTCATCGCCAAAACCACAATCCAGTATCAATTTCTGTTGTTCATTCCTATGGTCAATTACCAATCATTGCACTTCATGTTCAAACGCCTTCTTAAACAGCCAGGTCTTTAATTTCCTGCGGAATATCAGCAGGGAGGGAGCCAGTCTGATGTCCACGGGGAGGGTGTTCCACAGCCGAGGAGCCACCACCGAGAAGGCCCTATCATCCCCGCCAGCCGTGCCTGTGAAGCAGGCGGGATCGAGAGCAGAGCCTCCCCGGAAGATCTCAAAGTCCTCGTGGGCTCATAGGTCGAGAGGCGGTCAGTTAGGTATCTTGGGCTGGAACCTTGGCTTGCAATTAAACACAATCAGTGCTGACAAGATTACCATCTGCCAGCTGCAAAAGGCCACCTTACTGGGATCTGCACGCATTATTCACTGATACATCACACAGTCCTAGACACTTGGGAAGTGTTAGACATGTGATCCAATACAACAGCCAGCAGAGTGATCTTGTTTGCTGAATACTAATTTTGTAATGTATCAAATTATTATTATTATTATTGATGTCAATATGCATTTAATAGTGATCTCTTCACCTGAATATAATAATAATAATAATAACAACAACAACAACAACAACAACAATAATAATAATTTCAATCTAAGGGATCCCTAGGAAATGCAAGGCATTGCCATAAGTCCATAGCCCTCTTGAGAACACACATACACATGCTGAAGATTCATTGCAATGTTAAAGCCAAGATCCTAAGTCACGTGTTTGCATGATGTCAATATATGCAGCCGCATTGGCCCAGAGGGGCTGTGCTGCCTCGCCCTTCTGCTGAATATTGGCAGATTCACCACCCATTGCCTCATGTTCCTTTCCATGCTCCCATTGGGAAGGCAAGTAGAAGGGCTGTTTCTCCTGTCCAAAGCATCTGGAGGCACTGTCAAAGTATTGCACACCTCCCAAGAATGTCCATCTGTTGCTTAGTCCCCAGGACACTGGTGGAGCCATTGACCAAAGGTCAAGCCAATGGACTCCAAGGCATTCTTCACATTGGGGCTAGCAATGGGGCTTAAGTCCGGCTGCTGGAAACTTCACCTAGGCAACCCTGGACTCAAAATGCCCATTTCACAATGGTCCAAAAGTATAACTTATGTCTATGGAAACATACACAAGTGTATGAGACCAATGGGATTCCAATGAAAGCAATATACAAGGGTTGAATGAAAAGTAATGCCTCCACCTTCGTTACTTGGGTTTGGATGGAAATATTTTAATAAATCGAACGCAGAAATAATCCTTAGAATGTGCTCTTTAACTACCACTATTCACTTTTCCACATAATCACCAGACAATTGGATAGATTTCTGCCAATGATTAACAAGTTTTCTGAAACGGTCACGGAAGAAGTTGACACTGTTTCCGTAACCAGCATCTCACAGTTCTCTCTTCCTGAGTATCCATCGTGCACAGATCTTCCGATAGCCAAGCAAAGCAATAATGTGACCCACACGTTCTTGTGAAATGCCGATTATGCTTGAAATTTCTCTCTGATACAACAATCGTCCTGAATCAATCTGTCAACCTTTTGCTTGTGAAACTTGGTGGTTGCTGTCACAGGACATCCAATTCTTTGTTTGTCACGCAAGTCAGATGTTCCCACCTCAACAACTTTAAACTTACTCACCCAACGATGTACAGTACTCACATTAACACAACCACCATAAAAAGCCTGCATTTTCTTATTAATCTCCTTTGGGGTGACACCTTCTGCTGTCAAGAATTCAATGACTGCACGTTGCTTAAGTCGTGTTGACCAACCGTCTGCGCAGGGTTCCATACTTCACACTGTAACAACACAACCATTCAGTGCTAAGGTCTCCCACCAAAATGGAACTGTAGAGGAGAGTCTACTGAACAAGCCAGTACCTGCTGCATTCCAGTACTGCCATCTGTTGAGTTATGAAGGTGGAGGTATTACTTTTCATTCAACCCTCGTAGCATCTAGATCAGGCCTGGGCAAACTTTGGCCCTCCCTCCAGGTGTTTTGGATTTCAACTCTCACAATTCTTAACAACCTCATGCCCTTTCCTTTTTTCCCCTCAGCCGCTTAAGCGGCTGAGGGGGAAATGGAAGAGGCCTGAGGCTGTTAGGAATGGTGGGAGTTGGAGTCCAAAACACCTAGAGGGCCCAAGTTGGCCCAGGCCTGGTGTAGATGCACCCAGACTTGGAACTCATACTTGGCCTCCCCGTTTCACTGGAATTGTCACATATGGTATCCCTGGAAATTGAATTATTTTCCATGCCCTGGAAATGGGGCAGTACTGAAAGATATATAAGCAGACATAAGGAAAAATGAAAACAAGAAAGGGGGAAAGTGAGAAAGAATAAGTGGGCCCCAGGAGTTTTCCCAGATTCAAAACCAAATATTCGTCCGAAGCCTTTGCTTGGCACAGGATTGACCATGATGGATTTGATCTCATCAGTGCGCTAGGATTCCTTCCCTGCAATAAAACAGACCTGTGTGCTTTTGGGCCAGAAAAGACTGCCGTAACGCATCCGTATGGCACCGAGTGCTTGTTGCTTTGCCAAAACAAAGAGAAGCTGAAAATGGAAAATTCAGCCCTGGAAGCTCAAGAGGGATTTTAATATCATAATCAGCTGTTCATAAGCTAGGGGCATATATTTAAAAAATATTATGCCTCCTGTCTAAAGATCATCACATTGCAATGTGATTAGAACATATTTGGGGGCAGCTATTGCTCCTTCGCCTTGCAATAAATTAATGGGTTGGAACCATTTGGAAATTTTTGCTGGAGTAGACATGGGATGCATCTACATTGTGGAATTAATGCAGTTTCAAACCATTTTAACTCAATGCTATGGGATCCTTGGAGCTATAGTAATAATAAATGCTATTAATAATTGGTTGCTGTGAGTTTTCCGGGCTGTATGACCATGTTCCATAATAATAATAATAATAATAATAATAATAATAATAATAATACTTTATTTATACCCCGCTCCATCTCCCCCAGGGGGATTGGTGCGGCTTACAGAAGCATTCTCTCCTGACATTTCTATGGCAGGCATCCTCAGAGGTTGTGAGGTTGTGAGAATTTTTCTGAAACACGACCATAAAGCCTGGAAAACTCACAGCAACCCAGTGATTCTGGTCATTTTACATAATGGAATTGTCCCTGCCTAGCATAAAAAACTCTCCATGGTATTACGCTGCCATAATGAAAACCCCATGCCAATGTAGTGTGCAACATATGTGTGTAGTCTACACAGTTTGTGTGTGTAGTCACACAGTTTGAGTCTAGTTGCACACTTTTTCAGAAGTTTTTTTTTTCATGTCAGGAGCAACTTGAGAAACTGCAAGTCTCTTCTGGTGTGAGAGAATTGGCTGTCTACAAGGGGATGCCTGAATGTTTTGATGTTTTACCATCCTTGTGGGAGGCTTCCCTCATGTCCGCGCATGGGGAGCTGGAGCTGACAGAGGGAGCTCTTCCGTGCTCTCCACAAATGCAAACCTCCGACCTGTCCGTCTTCAGTCCTGCCAACACAAGGGTTTAACCCATTGTGCCACTGGGGGCTCCTATTCTGGCCATGAAAGCCTTTGAAAACATTAATAAGAATACTAATACTAAACCTAATAATAAAGGACCTCATCTCTAATTTAATGGCCATGGTTCAGTGCTATGCAATGCTCGGATTTGTTGTTTGGTGAGGCAGAGAAAACTCAAGGCCTTATAAAATTACAGCTCCCAGGATTCCATTGCATTGAGTGGTGCCAACTGCATTAATTCCGCAGTATAGATGCATCCTTGGACTTTGGAAACGTTAATTCACTATTCAACAATGGATTTTGTAGGCTCTATTCTAAGTTGGGATTAACCCATAGGAACATCTCACAGGGACATCAGATTGGATGCTGTTCGACTCAGATATATTAGATATATATCTTTCTCAATCTCTTTCTCAACCAAAGGGTTACTTCTACATCATGTTTCAATGAGTGTTTGAAATACAGTGTTTTACAAATACCATGGGCCAAAAAAAAAATGCTTCTCAGATCAAGTCAAGCTAGACCTGTCTAGTGGCCGAAAGGACCAGACTGAGGCTGCTCTACTTTGGTCAACCATGAGAGGAGATGACCTGTTAGAGAAGATGAAGGCTTAATAAAGTGGGTGGCATTCGGAAAAGAAGAAAGCCTCCTTATGGTCAAATAGACTCCACCAAGGACTTGAGCAAAGTGGCAGATGTTGACATCTTTGAGGTATTTCTAAGACATCATCATCTGTAGTCTTGCTCATGTCCTTCTTGAGGGTCACCACAAGTCATTGAAACATAGACCTGGAAGAAAAAGATGCTTCATAAAGTGGGAGGCGTTTAGGAAAAGAGGAAAACAGGATTATAGTTGGATAGACTCCATTAAGGAAGCCATGATCCCAAAATCTTTAGGTATTGAGTAAGGCTGCTATGGACAGTGTTTTGGAAGTATCTCCAAGACAACATCTTTATCATCAGTCTTCTTCATGTCCGCATGAGGGTCACCACATACAACTTGAGGAGAAGATAATTCTTAATGAAGAGGGGGAGGGATTAGAGCAGTGGTTCTCAACCTGTGGGTCCCCAGATGTTTTAGCCTTCAACTCCCAGAAATCCCAGCCAGTTTACCAGCTGTTAGGAGTTCTGGGAGTTGAAGGCCAAAACATCTGGGGACCCACTGGTTGAGAACCACTGGATTAGAGGGAAACCACCTTATGATTGGCAAGTCTCCATCAAGGACTTGATCAAAGTGGTTGATGATGGTATCTTGAAGGTATCTCTAAGACATCATCAACAACAACAGTCTTACTTGTGTCCTACTTGAGGGTCACCACAACTCCTAAAAGCATAGAGTTGGAAGAGAAGATAATGCTTGATAAATTGGGAGACATTATGAAAAGAGGAAAACTACCTTTAGTTTGCATAAACTCCAGGAAGGAAGTCATGGTTGCTTTGGTTGGCAAGACTTGAGCAAAGTAGCAGATGATGGCATCTTGGAGGTATCTGCAAGGCATCATCCTCAACAATCTTGAGTCATAAAAACTTAGAGCTGGAAGAGACTACAAGGGCCCAAAAGCCCAACAAAGCCAACTTGATAGCATAAAAACCAACTTGATAGCAAATAACAACAATAACGTAATGTTGAGTAATCTTTGGGCTGAAGAGCTCATTGCAAATGGTGTTGACAGAAACTTGGGTGCAGCACATCCAGCATGGATACATCTCTAGTTTCGGAGAGGCCACTATATTGAGTTTTATGAGACATCCCTGCGTGATTTTAGGTCTATAAAACTGATACAAACCCGTACTGTCAAACTTCTCTTTTTCCAACTTAAAATTGTTCTAAATCGAACCAAAGCTGGGAGTTTGGGAAGCTTTGAGTCCTGTCTTGTCCATTTGGGAGACGTAGTCCAAAATGTTAACTTCTCTAGTGTTGTTTTGTACAAATGG